CTATAAAGGCCGTGCCCGCCGCCGCCCTGCTCCCAGTCGGGAGCGCGGCCTGCGGGGAGGTGGCAGCGGGGCTCCCCGCACAGTCTCACTCCGCGCACTCACACACTTGGAAGCGCCTCCCCGCGTCCCTCCCCTGCCCTCCTCTTGCTCTGCTCTTCTCTCTCTCACCACAAATAGTCGGCGACCGACTGCCAATCCGCCTCCCTCCCTCTCTCTCTCCACAACATGACTGACTGGGAAGCGGTGGCTCCGGCAGAGCAGCTCTGCTGGCGCAGGCAGGAGGAGCAGGAGGATTATTAAATAACGCAGCTCGACTCTGCAACTGGGAGTGGAGAGAAGGAGCCCAACAGCGAGAAGGGGAGGGAGGGCAGAGGAGGGGGACCCGGAGAGACACCCTCGTGCCCCGAAGACATAAATCCCCGAGTGCCCGGGAGGAGCCTTAACAAGCGGCGCGGAGCCCTCCAGGTAGTAACGCCCCCGGTGCCCCCGCGCCCAGAGGGTCGCGCGTCGCCGCCGCGCTGGGCCGGCCCGAGGCGGCTGCGGGGATGCCGCCCGGCAGGTGACGCGTCGTGCCGGGCCGCCGTGGAGCAGCCCCAGCCCAGGCCCGGGGCGCCGACCGCGGGCCCCGCGTGCGCGGCGCGGGGACCTGCCTGGCGGGCGGGGCGGGGCGGGAGGGCGGCGGGCGGGCTGGCTCGCCGCCGGCCCGCGACCCCGGCGCGCTGCGTGGCCTTTTCCTCTGCGCGCCTGAGCGCTCGGCTCCCCGCGGCTGCGGCTCCAGCGCGATGCAGCGCGCGGCCGGCCGAGGACGCAGGAGTTGGCGCAGGCTCGGGGCCGCTCCCCTCCCTGGCCGCTCCGTCCCGCAGGTCGGCCGGCCGGCCGCGCTGGCGCCCGGGCTGCAGCGCCGGGGCGGGGGCGGGGGCGGCGGCGGGAGAGGGCGGGGAGCCGGGCTCCCGGGGGAACCGCAGTGCCCCAGCCCGGACCGCCGCTTGCCTCCGCTGCCTATCCACGGGCGCTGGCTTCCTGGATTGGAGGCGAGACCCTCCCCAGCGAACAGCAGCGACTTAGTGTGAACAAATTGCTTTGTGGTGGCGCGTCAAGGGCTCCAGGGAGGGGGTGTGTGTGCGCGCGTGTGTGTGTATTCGGAATCCTGACTAATCAATGCGTTGGTTCACCTGGAAAGAAAATCAGTCCGGAGCTGAAACCCCAGGTGGCCCCTTGGGCCCTCCCATATTTTGGCTGGTGTCCCAGGGACTCGTACACGCGGTGCAGTGACGGGGTAGGGGAGCGCGAAGGGGTGACGGAGGGATTTGTGAATGGTGCTTCTCAGCGCGTGGAGGCTGAGCCTTGCTGATGTAGAGGAGGAGGTATCCAGAGTGAGAAGAAAGGCTATTTATGGCAAAGAGTTGTGAAATTTCTCGGGGTTTCCGTCAGTGTATCCTGAGCTGCTCGCTCGCGCTCTCCCTCTCTCCTTCTTTCTCTTTTTCTTCCTCTCTCCATTCTCTCCCCTCATCTTTCTCAGAATTAGAAGCAATTCTGCTTCCCCTCCCCCTCCATGTGGGACCTGGAATATGAAATGAAGTCAGAAAATCACGGGTCTTTTTAAGGCAGTAAAAAAAATGCTTCTTAGAAGTCACTGATCTCTTGCCCTTTAATGTTTTTATGTACCTACTCTCCACTCCTCTTACCTCTTCAGGCCTTCAGCAGGACCCCCAAGACAGAAAGCCCCTACTTGGTTTCAACAGCTTTCATTTCTAATATCTTTACCGTTGAATACCTTCCCACTGAAATGTAACATATCCTCCATCCGTCTCCCCATGAAAGGCTATTGAAAATAATGTACACACATTTTACCGTAAAGCTGGTTTTATTAAAAGCCTTAGGGAGGAAAGAGAAGCAGACGTCTAGGTGGGTCTATATCGATTACTACTGATTAAAAACTAGCTATTAAGAAAAGACCTAAAATACTCTTAATCTAGGCTGCAACACAGTTGGTTTGTTTTGGTTTCTCTTTTTATTTGCTTTGTGAATAGGTACAGATTCCAGACGTAACTTCAAGCTTAGACATAACTTGGGACGGTGTCCACCAGCTGTGCTTTAGCGAATTTGTTCTTAAAAGCAGCAACCTGTGCTTTTATAGAACTGATGACTGCGTGTGACTGAGATAGTAGGACACTGCCCTTATTATTTCAAATTGGGATGTCTCTAAGCACCTGCCAAGCACAATGTTTTTAAAACATGAAATTCGATGTTGCTGCCGCCCCTTCAATAATTTCACAGAGGAGAAAGAGAAGTAAACTGGTCAACCTATTGTCAGAGTGATTTGTCTTCATTTGATATTGATTAAGGAGCTCCTTATTTTGATCAAAACGTAGCAACTGTCGGTTTTTTTCCCCAGTGTGAAAGTAGCTTTCCTTAACAGTCCTGTTCATTTTGAAGACAAAGCAGAGTTAAGGATTTATTTTAATTCACTTAGATTCATATTGGTTTAAAATACATTTTCAACACTGAAGCATGTGCAGTTTTATATATTACCTTAGAACTTAGACTGAGAGCCCCACTCTGAGGGTTCTTACCTTAACTTTTCGGAATTATTGGAATGTAGAAATAATGGGGAATTTTAAAATGTGCTTGATGAAATGTATTCTTGCCATCCTTAAAAAGTCATATTTATGAATATTTTGTTCTTTGACACTGTCAAAGAATCAGCAACTTTTTATTTTAATGATTATTCTACTATAGAATGTTAATTTACATCAAACTCATAATGTAGAAAATGAAAAATTTATATATTTTATAGTTATTCAACTCTTAATTGCATTTTATAACTCCACACAGTACTCATAATAAAGAGCCTGTCGTGTGCCAGGTGCTATCCAGGTGTTGTGGAGGAACAGAAGGCTCCCTTGCTCCCTGCCCTTCAGGAGCCTGCTCTCCAGTTGGGAAGAATCTGATGCTCCTGCTTGGACAGAGTTAACAACCCATGACGATAAGAGATTGCATGTCTAATGAGGACTGCAGGAGTTCAGAGCATGATAATAGCATTTCATACTGGGTTTTGTCTGAAAAGGCTTCAGGGGTAGGTGAGACTCGCTTGGTCTTGATCTTAAAAGATAAATAGGATTAGCGGCTTGTGGATGAGCTATAAGGTGTAAGATGCAAGTCTCCTAGAATTATAGAAAAGATCAAGAGATATAAGGGAAGATAAGTTTATTTTGAAATAGACTTAGATATTGCTAGGTTGAATTTGTTGTGCACAGTTCAGAGTGAGTCTGTTTTTGATGTACAGCATTCTGTACACTCTGTTCTTAGAATTAATTGTCAATATTTCTGTACCTAAGAAGACAAATCTTTGACTTTATATTGTCTTTTAGTGAACAAAATTCTCGACATATATTTGTAGAGAATACTTACTCTAAATATTTAAATATGCCACATCACACTAAAGTGTTGAATTTGGTATTAATAACAGGTGGCACATACAACCGCTTTATAGCAAGGTGTTTGAGACCCCTCCTTAACTAACCCTCCTTAGATTTGCTCTAAAGGAAAAAGTATGTGGTATGTAAAGGAACAACTGTATTACTAGTGACCGTCCATTGAGTGCTTAATATTTTATTCTTCATATAAAATGTATAACCCATTGAATAACATTTTCTATAGTATTTTTATATTAAAGGGATTAGAATGCATCCACATGATAGTTATTTTCCACCAATGGAGAGCTATGATGCAGGGCTTATGGGGAACAATTTTAGAATTGTAGCAACAATTTTAAAGATATTTTAACAATTTTCTGGTAAATAGATTGTATTACTAATAGGAACATGTCCTTTCTCTAAGCATTCTGAACTTATTTTTTCTTTGTATATATATTTGTTTTTTATACAAACACAAAACTGTTTAAAATGCATTTCTCCATTTTAAGAACACAAGGGGAAATAACTTGATTGACTTTGAGTCTGTCTATCCAAGATGGGACCCCAGAAGTCTATAGTGGTGACAGTAAAGAAATAGTACAAATATTAGATATGACTTTCAAGAAATAACAGAATAGAATTACTTTCAGATTAGTTGAATTAAAAAATTCTCATATATATATTTTGTTGACAGTGAATAGATAAGAGTTATTATCAAAGTGAAAAGCCTATTAAATCATCAATTTCATATTCATGCAAGAATGGGATGGTTTCCAACGTAGTCAGAGTACAAACCAGCCTATCTGTTAATTGGTCTCCTTTGAGTTTGGTTTTGGGTTATCTGTCACAGGTGTATCACTTTGATAGTGTAATCTCTCCTGCTGTATGACTGACAGCTTCTGCATGATTTCCCTATTGGATAGTGACAAAATCTGCTTTATATTGAGGACACATGCTCCTATCAGCAATATTATCCTCACTATGCAAGAGTGTCAGTTAACAATAAAACATGAAATCTGGGGCGGGAGAAGCAGTTAGAAAAGATGAGGAGATTGATGAAAAACACTATAATAAAAGAAACATACTTCAATATGTAGCTTAAACTAAATATAATACAAAAATGTAAAGCTGAGCAATCTAAACTGCAGTTGATAGAGAACCAAGATATTATCAGTTCTTATTTTAAAATGAGCATATTACATTTTAAGCTGTTTTCATGTGGGTTAAATAAAATGACAAAAAACAAAAAAAGTGATGGTCAAAAATGTTTACTGGCATCTGTAGTAATGATGGTACAATTTTTTTTTTTTTAAGATTGACATCTGAGCTAACTTCTGTTGCCAGTCTTTTTTTTCCCCTTCTTCTTGTCCCCAAAGCCCCCCAGTACATAGTTGTATATTCTAGCTGTAGGTCCTTCTGGCTCTGCTATGTGGGATGCCGCCTCAGAATGGCTTGATGAGCGGTCCCAGGTCGGTGCCCAGGATCTAAACCAGCGAAACCCTGGACCCGTGAAGCAGAGCTTGCGAACTTAACCACTCGGCCATGGGGCTGGCTCTGATAGTACAATGTTTTAAAAAGATTTCTGCTTAGATCATTGACAGATGAAATTAATTGTTTGGCCAGATTCCTGGTCCTATACCTAGATTAACGTAAAATATAGCTTTTAATTTTGTATTATTTACACTGCTTTAATAATTTTTAAATTTGAATTAGTTATTAAAGTTTTTGAATACCGTAACTATATTCTGATACTAGGCAAAATCTAAAGGTCATTTATAAGGAAACACCTTATTATGTAATGGCAAATTCTTAAGCTAGAACAGTAGTCCTCAAAATGTGATTCCCTGAGCAGCAGCCCCAGTGAGTTTGTTAAAATGTCAGTCCCGCCGCGGACTGATTGAATCAGAAACCCTGGGGTGGTGTCCTCTGTGATTCTTATGCTGTCTAAAGTTTGAGAACCACTGACCTAGAGTGTTTTATAGTGAAAGTTGAAGGCTGTGTCTTCCACCTGTTTTGTGTCTAAGTACTTTCCTCAACTGATAGAGAGAA